GATCAACTATCAACACTCACAGAAGGAGCAGTCAAGAGATCAAACAACGTATTACATTAAGCAAATCTGCTGCACAAGACCTTTTAAAGTGTTGAAAAGCAGAGCTGTCAGCTTGAGGACTAAGGTGCACCAAACCCTAGCCATGGTATTTTCAATAACCTCATATGCACTTGAAAGCTGGATAGTAAATAAGGAAGACCGTAGAAGAAATAATGCTTTTGAGTTGTGGTGTTGGAGGAGAATATTGAAAGTGCCATGGACTGCCAAAAGAACCAATAGATCAGTTTTGGAAGAAGTGTAGCCAGAGTGCTCCTTAGAGGCCAAGATGACCAAACTTCGTCTCTCATACTTTGCACATATTGTCAGGAAGGAGCAGTCGCTGGAGAAGGATATCATGTTTGGTAAGGTGGAGGGTCAGAGAAAAAGAGGTAGATGGCCAACGAGATGGATTGGACAAGTGGCAGCATCGATGAACTCAAGCGTGGCAAGAATAGTGAGGTTGGCCCAGAATCGGGCAGTGTTTCGTTCTGCTGTGCATAAGGTCGCTATGGGTCGGTACCAACTCGATAGCACCTAACAACAACATGCAATTAGAAAAATTGCAATTACTGTATATACTTAACATCCCATCTCTGAACAAGGTTTAGTGGGGCATTTTATGGTGTCACAAAAAGCAGCATATGAATTTGACACAGAAAATAAATACTCCAGAGGAAAGAGAGGAGTAAATTTACCAGTGATGGAGTACTAAAAGTCATGTTCTTTGCACAGAAGAGTCAAATTTGGACTTTATTCTGAAATGGGAAGTAATGTTGAATTGGTATGAGGTTTCATAGACACACTGATAACTATCATGAGCTAAATAATGTTGATTCCACTATAAACAAAAGCAGGTGTGTACATTTTTAAGGTGAGACATAGTGATTTAGTGGTAGAAGTCTCACCTTTTATGTACCCAGTTTGATTCCTGGCCATTGCACATCCTTTACCATCATTACCTGTCCGTCAGTAGAGGCTTGCTTATTGCTGTGATGTTAAATAAGTTTCAGTACAGTTTCTCAAATCAGGTAGACTAGGAAGAAAGGCCTGCCAATCTACTTCTGAAACTCGGCTAATGAAAACCCTATAGTTCACAAAGGTCAGATCTGCAACGGATTGGAATGGAAGGGGAGTTGGTAGTGTTATGTTCCATTTTTCATGGAACAATGGCAAGTTTTTTTTATGTTTTAGGAAAATACCAAATAACACAATCTGATTTGCTTTCAATTTTCTAGCAAAGACCATGTCCCTGACGCAAGCACGCCTCCTACGTGCAGGAAGGCTTACAGCAGCATTAGGAGATGAGCAAGTTCGATGGGAAGAAAGCATCCAGAAATTTGAGGAAGAGCTATCGAATATTGTTGGGAACGTGTTCATAGCCGCAGCTTGTGTGGCCTATTACGGGGCTTTCACGGCCCAATACCGGCAATTGGTGAGCAAATCTACTTTCTCTATGGATTAGGGGAAAGCAGCTGGGATTGTGAAGGGTTTTCATTTTCCTGAGTTCCCTATGAACTTCTCCATGACAGAAAAGTATCTATATATTATTCCACAGCCCCAACCTCTCCCTATCCACCAGTGAAGATGTACTTCTAGGCTTTCCTTAAATAGCTTCCCTGTGCCTCTGCTTCCTGACACAGCTGTTCATCACGATTTCACACAGCAAAAGAGCCCCAGGGGCAGGATCTGATCAGCAATGGTACCTAAAGCGGCCAGGATGAACCGTTCTCATTAAGAAAACTGCTGCCGGGGAGCTAGGTGATGGAAGAGGGTTAGGCACAGGACCAATCTGTGGATCATTTAATTTTTATCTTTAAAATTAATAAAGCTTGTCTATTATCAGAGAAGATAAGTTCCATCTGAGTATATTTTTCCAGAAAATTATTTGGAGAGATTTTAAAGCCATTTCTATGAAATTCCTGTTTTAAAACAGTCTCAGCCTTGTCCCTGAGTTATAAAAGCTAACAGAGAATAGAAATCGTACAGACTACAGAACTCATGTCATCTAGTGCCATGTTTCTTCCTGGGCCAGTGGTTCCCTGTGGAGTATACAGTTCTCTGTTGCACAGGACTGGACCACTTATTAAGGGAGGTTGAGCATCCCTCTCTTCCAATAACGATCAGTCATTGTGATAACTCAAAACTTATCCTTAGGCCTCCAAGATCTCCCAAATGGGACAATACAATTCTGATTGAAAACCTCTCTATCAAGTCTCATCTACACATGAGAAAAATGAGGCTCAGATAGGGGGAGCAGCATGCCTAAAGCCATAGCTGGTGAATGGTATCGTCCGAGGGCCAGGTCTCCTGATTCTTAGTCCACTTTATTTGCCACAAGGTCCCTGGGTGGCACAAACTGTTGTGCTTGACTTGTTACTATTGTTAGTTGCTGGTGAGTCGGTTCTGACTTACAGTGACCCTGTGCACAACAGAACGAAACACTGCCTCATCCTGCGCCATCCTTACAATCGTAATTACATTTGAGTCCAGTTCTGCTGCCACTGTGCTGATCCATATTGTTGGGGGTCTTCCTCTTTTTTGCCAACACTCAACTTTACCTAGCAAGATAATCCTTCTCCAGGTACTGGTCCCTCCTGTTAATATGTCTGAAGTATGAGAGATGAAGTCTGGCCATGCTGACTTGTAAGGCGTATTCTGGCTGCACTTCTTCCAACCCAGATCTGTTTGTTCTTCTGGCAGTTCATGGTACTTTTTAATATTTTTCTCCAACACTATAATTCAAATGCATCAATTATTGTCTGGTCTTTCTTTTTCATTGTTCAACTTCCACATGTATATGAAGTGATTGAAAATACCATGGCTTGGGCCAGGTGCATCTTAGTATTCAAAACAAACAAACAAAAAATCTTTGCTCTTGAACACTTCCAAGAGTTAGTTTGCAGCAGACTTGCCTAATGCCATATGTTGTTTGACTACGCAACTGCTGCTTCCCAGAGTAGTGATTTTGGAGCCAAGCAAAACAAAGTCGTTGACAATGTTCATCTTTTCTTCATTTATGATGTTATTTATTGGTCCATTTGTGAGGATTTTTGTTTTCTTTACATTAAGGTGCAATCCGTACTTGAAGGCTGTAGCATTTGATCTTCATCAGTAAGTATTTTAAGTTCTCTTCACTTCCAGTAAGCAAGGTTGCATCATCTGCATATCACAAGTTGTTAATGAATCTTCCTCCAATCCTTATGTTATGTTCTTCTTTATATAATCCAGCTTCTTGAATTATTTACTCGGTATATAGACTGAATAAATATGGTGAAAGGATACAACGCTGGAACACACCTTTCCTGATGTTAAACCAGTCAGTAGCCCTTTATTCTCTTCTTAGTCTATATGCAGGTTCCTCGGGAGCACAATGAAGTGTTCTGGAATTCATAGTTTGTCATGATCCAAATAGTCCAGAGTCTTCATATAGTCAATAAAGCACACGTAAGCATCTTTCTGGTATTTTCTTTCAGCCAAGATCCATCTGATGTCAGCAATGATTTCCCTTGTTTCACTTCCTCTTCTGAATCTGGCTTGAATTTCTGGCAGTTCCCTGTAAATGTACTGTTGCAACGGTTTTTTTCAACAATCTTAAGCAAAAATTTACTTGTATATGATATTAGTGATATTGTTCAGTGATTTCCATTGGGTCACCTCTCTTCGGAATGGGCATAAACATGTATCTCTACCAGATGGTTGACCAGGAAGTTGTCTTCCAATTTTTTTTATAAAGAAGAGTTAAGTACTACATCTGTTTGTTGAAAGATTTCAAATTGTATTCCATCAATTCCTGAAGCCTAGTTTTTTACCAATGACTTTAGTGGAACTTGGACTTCTTCATTCAGTACCATTGGTTATTGATCATATGCTACTTCTTGTAATGGTTGGACATCCACCATTTCTCTTTGGTACAGTGACTCTGTGTATTCCTTCCATCTTCTTTTGATTATTCTATATTTCATCCATAGAATACTTCTGTATTGCAAGTCAAGGCTGGAAATTTTTCTTCAGTTCTTTCAGCTTGAGAAATACTGAGCATGCTTTTCCCTTTTGGTTTTCTAACTCCAGGTCTTTGCACAAATTCATTATAATACTTTACTTTGTCTTCTCAAGCTTCCCTTTGAAATTTTCTATTCAGTTCTTTTACTTCCTCATTTCTTCCATTCATTTTCATTCTCTATACTAGAGAGCAAGTTTCAGAGTCTCTTCCGATAACCATTTTTTGTCTTTTCTTTCTTTCCTGTCTTTTTAATGACATGTTGCTTTCTTCCTCTCTGGTGTTCTTGATGTCATCCCACAACTCTTCTGGTCTTTGGTCATTAGTATCTAATGGGGTGGGACGGTTTCTAAATGCCAGTGGGATATCTGCACTTGACTACTAACCTACAAGTTGGCAATTTGAACCCAGCCAGAAAAAAGGAAGATAGGCCTAGTGATACATTTCCATAAAGATTGCAGTAAAGAAAAATCTATGGAGTGCAGTTCTACTGGGCAACATGTACAGTTGCCATGAATTGAGAATTGACTGAATGGCAGTAGTTGTTGTTTGTTCCTTGTTCCACAGCAGGGATTGCCCCATGCTGTCATGCTAGGACACCTATGAAGACTGTGATGGACTTAGCTCCTCCAGCCACTGCCTTACTCCTTTACCACCACACTTTGTGAGTACCCTGTTTATGGAGTGCTCCTGACTCTGTGCAAGTTTTCCTTCTTCTACAGCTTATAGATTGTTGGATCAATGATTGTCTCGTTCTGAACATCCCAATCGATACATCCTTCAGTCTCATTAACATTCTTGGAGATCCCTACAAAATACGGCAATGGAATACTGATGGACTGCCTCGTGATATGATATCAACAGAAAATGGTATTTTAGTTACGGAAGGACGACGATGGCCTTTGATGATTGATCCCCAAGATCAGGTATGTAACAAATGCCTAAGCATGATGTGGTAGTTCAGCCATTGCAAGAAGTAGCATATGATCAATAACCAATAGTACTGAACTGGTGAATATGCTGCCTATTTTAAATGATACAAGTGGGATTTGACATATACTCACTCTCCACTTATTGGCATGGTTAGGTTCCAATGAACAGGTTATTATTATTGTTGTTATTAAGTGCTGCTGAGTCAGCCCTGACTCATAGTGACCCTGTATAGGGTTTCCAAGGCTTGTAAATCTTTGTGGGAGCAAAAAGCCTCATCTTTGTCTTGCAGAGCCACTGGTGGGTTTGCCATCTACCTGTGGTTTGTAGTCCAGTGCTTACCTTGTGATGAAAGCACCAGTGAGAGTCATGGTCCAGCTAAGGTGGCACAATATTAACCATCACTTTTACCTCATACTTGAACAGTGATTATTGCCAGACATGCATTTCTAATGTGCAAAATCGATTTTTGTTTTTACTATTGTTGAAAATAAGGAGCCCTGGTAGAGTCATGGGTTATGAGTTGGGCTACTAACTGCAAGGTCCGCAGTTCAAATCTACCCACTGCTCCATGGGAGAAAGAGGGAGATTTCTGCTCCTGTGAAGATTTACAGTCTCAGAAAGATCACTAGAAGCTGCAACCGACGCCATGGCACACAACCATCAGCAACCCCACTGTTGAAAAGCACCATGTCCACTAACAAGATAATAAGTAAGGAAATGAGATTTGGCAGTTAC